GTAGTATTCTCTGATGGTAGTTTGTATTTCTGTGGGGTCGGTGGTGATATCCCCTTTATCATTTTTTATTGCATCTATTTGATTCTTCTCTCTTTTCTTCTTTGTTCGTCTTGCTAGCCTGACCACCAATTTATAAGGCTGTGCTTTGTTGGTGACATAAAGGATTGTTTCACAGATTGCTGGGGAGGGACAATCCCAAGGCCTCACCTGGCCCTGGTCCTGGCTCTGCACAAAGGCAATAAGAGAGGGATGCTGGTAAGGGCTGACCTGTTCCTGTGCTGGGGAGGAAGGTGCTGGGCTGAAATTCAGGAGGCTGAGGATGCAGCAGTCCCATAGGAGGTACATGACCTTCAGGATACATTTTCTTAATTGATGATAAATGGAAATGAGAAATTGTTGATTATTTTTTCTGCCATTGGATATCTACTCTCTACTGCTCATGCTGTTCTTGTCTTTTGCAGAAGATGGAGGATCAATCAGTGGGTGCTGCACTGAGTGGAAGGAAGGAGAACTGTGACAAAAATTAAGGGGATATGAGGGATGAGAGGTCCTTCATCCAGGTGCTTGCAGAGCCCTCCTGAGGAGGAAAGCCCTGTGGCTGCCTGTGGAAGAAGCAGTGAGGGCTGCATGACTCCCACAGTCATGTGTGTGGTATGTCTAAGGACACCCGGGCTGGTCTGTGAGGAGCCAGCAGCAGAGTGAGAAGCAGCAAGGCCAGGAGGGTGGCTGGAGGCCAGTCTCTGGGTCATTCTCCATGTGATGGAAACAGCCAGACCCCAGTGGGCTGGGAGGTGCAGGATGCAGTGACTGATGACAGAACAATGTGGAGAGAGGCGCCATGTGTCAAATCTTTACTTTGTTCTGGGCATTGTGCTAAAACTTCCCATGGCTCATCCCATTTAGGGGCTGAAAGTTGCAGAGGTTTAGGAAGCTCACCCATGATACTGGAGCCCCCATCTCCTGCCCTAGTGTTGTCCCCCTTCTCACCCAGCCACCACCTGTTTCAGGGCAACACGCAGAAGTGGTAACCTCTTATGGACAGGCAAGTAAATTCTGCTGTTTTTGTTATTCACAGAAAAAAACACTGGCTCGTGTGGGTTGGGAAGGTGAAATACCAGAAGGATTTCATCTGGTTATTTCTACCTATGTGAATCCTATAATATTGAAATGCATAGGTTAGCATTTTTGGCCAATTTACTCAGCATTCTGGGTTAAAGGCTCTTATTTTATTTATTTATTTATTTATTTATTCATTTATTTGTTTATTTTTGAGATGGAGTTTTGCTCTTGTTGACCAAGCTGGAGTGCAGTGGCATGATCGTGGCTCACTGCAACCTCTGCCTCCTGGGTTCAAGTGATTCTCCTGCTTCAACCTCCCATGTAGCTGGGATTATAGGTGCTTGCCACTATGCCTGGCTAATTTTTTGTATTTTTAGTAGAAATGAGGTTTCACCATGTTGGTCAGGCTGGTCTCGAACTCCTGACCTCAGGTGATTTACTTGCCTTGGCCTCCCAAAGTACTGGGATTATAGGCATGAGCCACCATGCCTGGCCTAAAGGCTTTTAAAATTCACTTGCATAAGCTGACTTAGTTTTCTTTAACCTTATAGAAAAATACAAAAATGGCAATCTCTTTTATCACACAAATAATGTCTTTTTAATAGAGTTATTTTTTCTAATTGATGTATTATGTACTTTTCATTCACTAATAAATTGCTTACATTTGAAGTGTTTTATGAATTAATATTTAATTGCATAGATGAAGATTACTAGTCATAGGCATTTTACTAACCAATACTCATTAAGCATAGCATGGATTGATGTGATGTTGCAGGCTGAAAGAGTGAGGGTCGTGATCAACTCAGTGTGCCACTGGAGGCTATATGAGTAAACAGCAAACTGTTCTCATGAATGCAGAATGTTGGCAAAATGACAAACTGTGTGTGCCACCCAGAGGGAATGCTGAGGGCAGTCACACCCCAGGCGCAGCATTTCTTGAGATTAGGCACATCTGAAGCCTGTTAGCAATAATGTGAACCTGTGATCAATTGAGAAGCTGACCAGTCATTACCTCCTGCTCTCTGCTCTTTCTACTCAATAAATACGAAGGGCTGTAGAAGCTCAGGGCGGCCACCCTTGCCCACTGGAAGCTGGGAGCCCTCTTCTTCTTC